GGGGGGGGGGGGGGGGAGCCCGAAGCCGGGCGAGGGGACCCCCTCCCCCAGCGAGGAAGGGAGCACAGGCATGTGTTGCACATACGGCCGAAGAGCTGGACCTCGCGCTCGGACACCCGCTCATACACCAGGGACCAGCCGAGGGCGCTCACGAGCAGCAGCGCCACGAGCAGGGCGTCTGCCAGCATTCCAAAGAAGGATTGCAAATAGAAAAGATAGGCGAAGGGGTAGGCGGTGGCCGTGTCTGGGCGAGACAGCAGGAACAGAGGGTCGCCATCCGGCATGAGCGTCACATAATTCAGCTCATAGTACATGGTCCGCAGGATGAATTGGACGAGCTTGCAGGCGAACACTGCGACAGGGCAAGAGCGAGGATGAAGGTGAGTGGGAGAGGGACCGTCAGAAAGCAGGCAAGGGGCGGGAGAGAGAGAGAGAGAGAGAGGGGAGTGACACACCGGCCAGTGCCACCAACTGCAGCTCCTTTAACACGCGCGGATCGACCGCCGGCTCAAAGTGCTGCCACGGCAGGCGGAAGTAGGTGGGCCAGCGAACGGAATTGTTCTTCCACGATTGTGCGATGTTGAGCCGCGAAAGGGCGCCACTGCCGCCACCGCCGCGGGTGCCGACCGGGCCGCTGGCCACCAAGTCCGAGGCCGGCCGCTGGGGGAGCGGCTGCCAGGGGGTCCCTTCGCCGAAGTGCTCCAGCAGGCCGGCCAGCGTCAGCACAACGCCCACCAGCAGCACGCAATAGAGGCCGAGCATGATCGATGACAGAATGCGCCGGGGGGCATTGTCCACGGTGAAGGGCCCGGCATTCGGGTTGACATAGTCCAGCGTGCCGGTCAGCTGGATGGCATCCGGGTACTGTGGCACCGGAGAGGAACTCCCCTCGGCAGACTCCTGGCCCGGAGGCGGCGGCAGTGGCTGGAACGACCGGGGCGGGACGATCAACACCACATGAAGCCGGCCACCGGTGGGCAGAGCGAAGGTGACATCGATGTCACCCTTGAATTCGAATTTCTGCACATGCTCCTGGTCAGATGCATTGCAGGAGGAAAGGAGTGGGAGCGGGAGCGGGAGCGGGAGCGGGTCGGGGGGGGGGGG